TGGTTTGAGGGTAGGGACCAAATAAATTGATTTTTTCAACAATTTTTTTTTTAATTGGAAGTTGGAAGAGAGTTTTGGAAATTGTTTTCCTTAAGTTTTGAAGGGAAGTCATTTTCCTTAAATTTGAGGAAAATGAGTTGATTTGGAAAACATTTAACCCAACCAAACATGAGAAAATTGGAAAACATTTTCCGAAAAATATTTTCCTTCATACCAAACACACCCTATATGTGGAAAAGGTAGGAGGATGAGTCATGAGATTGTTTAAATTTGTTTGTTGTGATGTGAGGGGTTGTTGTAGTGAAGTAAGTTATATATATATATATATGTTCTAGACTATAATCGAAATCTCAGAGACACATCTTAACTAAACTAAGGTCTATTACCTCCTGAACTCATTTTTTATGTAATTTTATCAACCTTTTGGCTTACGTGGCACACTTTGTGGCTCTACGTAATTGAGGTGCGTGAGAGATGTTTGTATGTTGCATAAACTAAAAAGGTGTACAAAATTACAAAAAAAAATGGGGTCAGGGGATAATAGGACATTAGTTTAGTTAAGGTGTGTTTTTGGGATTTCGGTCATAGTCTAGGAATAATTGATCCTTATCCCTTCTATATATATATATTGTTATTTTAAGTTTTTTTTTTTATATTATCATGTAACCATGTCATTGAAATAATATACTATTTATGGATAAAAAAAATTAATATATATATAGATTTATAATTTTATTTATAAATAGGAAAAAATATCTGCTAGAATAAATAAACAAAAGGTGACATGATGATATAAAATTCATTACACGAATGGTAGAATATATACAACCTATAATCTGTTTGATTACGGAAGTCTAAAATTGCTTATAAGAAAATGCTTATTTTATAGAGTTAATGTGTCTGATCAATCCTTTTTAAGAACAAAAATTATTCGTGAATACTAGCAAAAGCTTTAAAAAAATAGCTTTTTTCCGGAAGCACTTTTTAAAAGATTTGTCAAACGCAAAATTATTGCTCTAATATTAATTTTTTTTTTAGAGAAAAAGTGTTTGTCAATAGTAGCAAAATCTGAAAAAATATATTTTCTCCATGAATACTTTATGAAAGTTTCGCCAAATATGAATAATTCTTCTCTAATACCGACAAAAATATTATTTTTTAAAATTGATTACGTAAACATAAATTGTTATTATTCAAAAATATATTTTTTCAAAAATAAATCGATTTAAAAAATCTGGCCCACACAATTTATTAATATGGTTAGTGTACTAGCTAAGTTAGAATACAAAGGACTGTGACGTTGGTGGACTTAATCCATGGACACTAAATAAGAAGGCAATTTTGATTTATTTGGCTTTTGAACAAGTAAATATATATGGATTGGGAGTACTCGAAGGGTAAAATAGGTATAAAATGAAGAATTTTCTCTATTTTTTTTTAAATTGAACAATTAAATGTATACATTTATTTTTAATATAGTAAATAAATAAAAGTAACCGAAGGAACTCAAATTGGATAAATAGATGTGAATTATCTATTTTTAGTATATAGTGAATACGTAAAAATAAACGTAAATAGTATCAAATCGTTGTGATTCCAATTAAGTCTTACGTTGTCAGTTCAGCTATCAATTTGAGAAGTTAAATTGGTTCCAACTATCACCTGTCTTCTACTTCAAAATATGGCCAATTAATGTACATTGCATTACGAGTATGAAAAAATCGAATCGATCGATAAATTGAACTGAAAAAAAGTGTTATTGATTTATTGAGTTAATAGTTTTTAATGGTTTTATAAAAAGAATAGTGGGTTATCGATTCGGTATTGATTTTTAATATTGGGCTATTCGTAAACCGATAACCATTAAGACTATAGTAATTTACTACTTTTACATGTACATAAAGATTGTCTTTGTCCTTTAGCCTTCGATTCACGCTACAATGACTTTGAATTTACAACTTCACATCATACAAAATGTTAAAACCTAAAGGAAGAATTGTATTCCTCTTAATTTCTCTGTGTTACATTTGTGTCGTTCTTTTCATGTTTGTTACTATTGTTTCTATTTTATGAGCATTTGTAAAGTTACAGTCGAGTCAAATTTATTAGACAAGTTATATATTTATTTTATAGGCATTTTCTCATTAATTAAACCGAAAACCAAACAAATAAAAAATATGCTCATTTGAAGTAACAAGTCTTGAACATCTTATTGATTAACAAGTTCATCAAAAGGGATACATTAATAGTGTCCTTATACTGAAATACAAAGGAAATAAAACTTGTAATTTAATTTCTAGAAAGAAATTAAAATACATTGCATAATACTAAATAGAAATTAAGTCATTTTCACTTGACTTTGTTTTATTTTTCATCAATACAAATATGAAATCATAGCTTATTATTATTATTATTATTATTAGGGATAAGGTATTAGTATCCCCCTAGAGTATGACCGAAATCCCAGAGACACACCTTAACTAAACTAAGGTCCTATTATCCCCCTAAACTTTTTTTTTTGTAATTTTGTACACCTTTTTGGCCTACGT